CACACCATCTTCTGTGATCACTTGATATGAACCAGGATGTTTAACCAAAACCTCCACCTTCTGAGACACGATCTCACAATCCACATCAGGGAATGTGGAGCGATGGCACGTTAACAGTGTGTGTAAAGGGTGTGTGCTTAACAAAGAGGTGTGTGTAGGGCTCAGTGTCTACCCATCAGACCCGTTTCATGTGTGTTGATGACTCTTGCTAAAGCGTATAGTTTAGTGTAATAATCAGGTGTAAGTTTAGATTGAAATATTCTTCATTAGGTGACTGAAAAACAGGCCTCATTAGTGGAATCTAATGAAAACGTGTTTCTCCCATGATCCTCCAGGTTTCGCTCGGCTGATGATGAGGCTCTGAGGAAGTCTCTGGTGGTTTCCGCGGGCGATGGGTGCAAACACCAGTCAGGTGAGCGACCTGTCAGAGAGCCAGAGCATCCGCACTCTGATTGGTCCAGACGCCATATCAGAGAATGAGCCCTTCTGGAACCAGCTGATCTCATTCACCTTCACCAGCCCCACCTGCAGGTGAGGGGCTTCTCCCACCCCCATCACTGATGGCAAACTAGGCACCTTTCAGTGAAAATGTGCTGTTCTGCCTCAGAAATAGGTCATTTGTGTGATTTGTGAAGATCTGATGAGTTGCTTGGATGTGAGGGCAGGGGGGGGGCTATGTGAGGATTCACAAATGATGAGCATTAAATGCTGATCCACACGATCGAAAGAGCACTATTTGTTTGGATCTTGCATTTGAAAATGCAATGTGCCAAAAATCTTTCCAAATTTGAAATTTATCAATAAAAATATCGCCAAAATAAAAATTCTAAAGGCCGTTTCACACTGAGCGCGATGCGAAAAAGCGAGGCCATTCGCCAACGAACGTTGCTTTCACACTGAGCACGAAATGATTGATCACCTTCTGCTAATTCACGCCTGGGTGGCGCCGACCAGCAATGCATTTTTACTCAGATATGTATCTCATATATGGATTTAACATCGTCCACTGCTCAATATACAGCATTAAATATAGCTAAATAAAGTTTGGTTCTACGCCAGAAACACAAACTATCTATAATGCTTACAAGAAAACATCTTAAAATATAAATATAAGTACAATTAGCATCAAGCCACATTTGAAAATGTATGTGATTTATTAAAGGGGTCATATGATGCGATTTCAAGTTTTCCTTTCTCTTTGGAGTGTTACAAGCTCTTGCTGCATAAAGAAGATCTGTAAAGTTGCAAAGACTAAAGTCTCAAAACCAAAGAGATATTCTTTATAAAAGTTAAGACTTGTCCACTCCCTCGTTGTGTATTTTTCATTTACACATGAAATATGAAAGCAAATAGACATATGATTTTGACTATATATTTTCTGTATGTGTTTTGTTTGCAGCTCATGGTAATTTTATAACAAAAAATGTTTGTTTACACTTGTTTTCGAAACCGCACCACCACTCTTGCCTTTTTGTGCAACAGCAGCTGCTGTGGGCACATGATCTAAGCTCAAATCTGATTGGACGGCCCGTTTCATCGTGGGAGAAAATCGAGGACGAAAAAAAATCCTCGCTTTTTCGCACCGTGAATGATCGCGCCTGGTGTGAATAGCCTATTGTTTCGATTCAAAAGCGTCATTGCGCCAAATTTTTCGCTTTCAGTGTGAAAAGCCGTTAATGGTACCGTTTGAAAGCAAAGAAATTAAGGCAGACGTAAATATTAGTATTGAAATTTGACTGTTGTTCTGTAAACTAAATTTACAGTACAATAGTATAATTGCTATAATTTTATATATATATATATATTTCAGCTAGCATGTTGATTCAATGTGTTGATCTGAATTATTCAGTGTTTGCTCAAATATGATTGAAGGTATGTGTTTCATGTCATTTCACATAATTCCCATGTTTTCTTTGTTAAGAACTATTAGATGTATAATGCTGTTGTCAATGATTTAACTAATTTAACAGCATAAAAACTAGGTCTGTGCGTGAAATGTGAAATGGTAAAATGGTGATTTCTGATGTCTTGACCTTCTCAGCTGTATCTAGTAAAAATCATACAGACATATCAGACAGAACCTGTTGAATTGCTATTCAGTTCATTGCAGTGAGTAACTTCTTTGAATAATTTATCTGTGTCCTACATTTTGCATGCATGCAACCTAGAGTTAGAGTAATGACCCGATTTACTTAACGTTTAGGTTTAGCTATTATTAATTATTTATTGAGCATTGCTTTCCATTATAATATCGCTGTTGCCACTGTTTTGTAAGTGAGGCCGTCTTTCACACTCACATCTCTTGACCATGTGAAATTCACTTTGATATTCCTCTCATCTGATGATTATCTCTCTGTCTGTGTGTTTGCAGTGCTGATGCTAAACTCCTGGAGGAGGCTGTCGTCCCGCTGGCCAAGACTCTGAGTATGTGTGTTTGTATAATTTACTGCCGTTTCATTACAGCCATCTGTACAAAGAGATGCACGCTGATTTCAAACCCACTGTCTTGTGAAATAAAGGTCTGTAATTTCAGACTCTGTGAGCATGAAGCCACATGATTCAAATGATTACCGATCCCAAGCCCACTCTGCTTTTATACTGTACTGTATGTAATTTATGGTGTTTAGGTTTAGCTATTATTAATTATTTATTGAGCATTGCTTTCCATTATTATATCGCTGTTGCCACTGTTTTGTAAGTGAGGCCGTCTTTCACACTCACATCTCTTGACCATGTGAAATTCACTTTGATATTCCTCTCATCTGATGATTATCTCTCTGTCTGTGTGTTTGCAGTGCTGATGCTAAACTCCTGGAGGAGGCTGTCGTCCCGCTGGCCAAGACTCTGAGTATGTGTGTTTGTATAATTTACTGCCGTTTCATTACAGCCATCTGTACAAAGAGATGCACGCTGATTTCAAACCCACTGTCTTGTGAAATAAAGGTCTGTAATTTCAGACTCTGTGAGCATGAAGCCACATGATTCAAATGATTACCGATCCCAAGCCCACTCTGCTTTTATACTGTACTGTATGTAATTTATGGTTCGAGCCGTTTTGTAATCATTCTGTTGATCTGGTTAAGTAGCTCTTATCATGAACACCCTAAAGATGGGAAGCGATGTTTGGCGTGTTTGATCATCTGTCTGTGTCCCTTCTAGTTCAGAACAACCCCAGGTCCGGGAACTTCGGGGCGTTGGTGAGAGTTTTTCTCAGCAGAACCAAAGAACTGAAGATTTCCACAGAATGCCAAGAGTAAGTGAGATATGTCTTCAATAATGTGTGCATATAAGAGTTATGTATTTTTAAATGTTCAGAAAAGCTGAATAATATGAAGACACACAGTATCCAAAATCTCTTGCATGAAAACGGCAGTACTCAACACTGATTCTTATTCACTAATAATTGCATACAAGTTTCTAATGGACCCTTTTCTCCATGAATGACGTGTTCCCACAGTTATTAACAGTGTAAATCTAGTACAAATGTTCTTGACAAAAAAAAAGAAAAGAATGTACATTTATAACACTATGCTTTGTGTTTTATTATCTTGGCATTAAATTACTGCACACTAGTCAAAGCTGCTGACCACTTTAATCAAGCTCTCAATATTTTTTTTCCTCTTTTGGAAAGTCGTAGAAATGCTATCATGGCTTTTTTTCATTTGCTGTTGGGGCAAATGGGAACACAGAAGTGATATTTTGTAGAAGTTTACCCAATTATGACAACTTTTACTTCTGAGGACCATGCTATTATATTTAAAAATTTTGGCTTATTCCATTTTTATTTATTTGTGCGTTCTATTTTTATGCACTAAGCAGATCTGTGTTTTTTTGTAACTTTTCCATAAGCATTGTTCTAAATTTGATGCAGAAGTTAAGTGTTAGTTTATTGGTTCTACATGAAATTGTTTTTGCACCATGTTTTCACAAATATGCACATGATACCCATTTTGTTCAGTTCCACCTAAATATTATATTGCCATATTTTAAAACTGCTAGTTGCTTGCTATATTTCCAGCACAGCTGGTCAAAGGTGATGTTCAGCAAACGACATCAGTGTTTGTGTAGTGTGATTTTGGATCTTTCAGTAGTAAGCAGTGTTATTTTAGTATCGTTGAGTTAATATTTTGAATTTGTTGAATTTAGTTTTTTTTTCTGTTTTCACTTTAATTGTAAAAACATTTTGTTGTAATTTTGTGGTGTTTTTGTTATTTTTATTAGTGTTTTTTTTATGTTTATGTTTTAGTACATAAGTTATTTTCGTACATCAGGTTAAACTAAATACAAATAAGAAACGCCTCTTTGGTAAATAGCTGAAATAAAATACTTTTTTTTTTCTTCATATTCAATTTAATTCCAGTTAACACTTATTTTATTTCATTTCAAGTGACATTTTTTTATAATTTAGTTATAATTAACAATAATCACCCTGGTAGCAGTGCATATACAACTTGTCGCATCTTAATATATAGTCACTATAAAAGTGAATCTAACAATTTTATGTAAATATAATGGGTTTTGTGTGTGAAAGCGGCTTTGTTTGTGGTTCTCAGATGGTCAGAAGGTCTGTGAGATTTTGAGAAACATATTCTTTATAAGCATCTTTTCCCACACAGGCTTTCCGTGACATTCATTAGTCACTGTACCGTTAGGATGTTTTCTGATATGATTTTCCCATGGGAATAGCAGCGGTGCAGCCCATGGCGTCATACACACACACACACACGCACCGCCAGAGCTGATGTTTTTGCTCAAAGTGTTGCTGTAGCATAAATCCAGAGCAGCAAGTGACCCACCGCTCCTACAGCGCACACATGTGAACCGTCAGCCTGAGAGAATATTTATATGATCTGCTCTCATCTCAACTGTGCAGACATCACGCTTCTGATCCAGACTCCGCTGATGCACTCCAAAAAAATATTAAGGCCTAAAATTAAGATTTATCTATTTAAATTGCATATCAAATTTCCAACCATTTGGATTGCACAGTTTTAACATAAACTTATAAACCTAATGCAATGCATACATAAATGAAATGGCTAAGATTTCTGTCATAATACCAATAAACTGAATGTGTTTTAAATACACAATAACCAGATTTATATATTTGTCATCAATAAATCCAAATAGTTTCAATCTCACATTTTAAATAATTGAATATTGCTCGTTCTACAGCAAGCCAGTAGAATTGATCATACAAGATGTACCCATGTATATTTATTGTATGTTATATTTGTAGGTGTTCCTTGACTGTAAAGCATATTTATTAGAGTGTCCTACTTTAAAAGTTACTAGGAAATCTTTTTACTCAAAGTAAAATAATAGACATTCAAAAAAGTTTCACCTGGGAAAATATTAGAATTTTTTATTAAATATCAATTTGACAAAAACAAATATTTATTTATTTAAATTTTTTTTCATTATTTTATACAATTCACTGAAGTATTGTTATTAAGACTATTTTAAATCTTATTATTTTAGAGGTTTTTGGAGCCATGAATATAGCTTTTGATCCTGATATGGCCTAAAATGATCAATAAATTCCTGGCTAGCCATTTTAACTGGAATAATGTAATTGTTTTCACAATTAACAGATTTATGCTTATTCTAAGCAATTTTAATGTAGTTTGGAAATATGATTATTTAAATAAAATCAAATAGATGCAAATAGATAATAAGAAACTATAATAAACCATGCAGTGATTTTTTTTTTGTGCATAAATCTTATCCGTTGCATTTATATATGACTGATAAATGAGCATTAAATTAAGTTTATAGTTTGTTAAAATGTCACCAAATTAGATGGACATTTTCAAATTTGAATACATAAACACTAAATTTCTAATTTTTGAGTGCTCATAGCTGTAGATATGAGCTGTTTCTCTGTTAATCAAAGTGTGATTGCTACAGCGAGAGTGTATGACAGTCCGTATGTGTGTTGGTTTAGTAAAGGATGATCCAAAACCACTGACAGGGTGAAGCCGTGTGTGTGTTTTGAACATGAACCACAGGGTGAAGTCTTGGTGTGTGTGTCTGTAAGATGTTCAGCCACAGTTCACAGGCTGCTGTAGATCAGTAATGATCTCTGACTCTCTCTTTCTCTCTCTAGTCAGTTGTTCATCTGGCAGGCCCATAATGCTTTGTTCCTGGTGCGCTGTTTGCTGAAGGTCTTCATCAGGGAGATGAATGAAGAAGAACTGCATTTACAGTTCTCCTACCAGGAGAGGGCGCCGGGAACCTACGGTATCACATACACTCAAATGAATTGCTTTCACTATATTAATTCCTTTGTCCTCACAAGTCAGTTTTTACATGTTTCATTATATTTGGACCTTACAAATATAGTTGAACTGGTACACACAAACACATTGAGAATCTATTGACTTTACATGAGCTAACAATGAGTAATAGATATGTTTTACTGAATGTATTAATCTTTGTTAGTGTTAGTTATTAAAAATACTATTCTTCATTGTTTGCTCATGTTACATAATACATTTATATTTGCAGAGGTTCCAAGATGAAAGTTTTGTCAGATTAACTAACTTTCAGAGACCGTGTATAAGTATAGCTTGGGGTAAAGTTAGTTTTTAATTAGCCCAGACTAGTGCTAACTCTAACTTTGTCATTTTAATATATGAAGTAATGTATTGTTAGTCCATTATGAAGCTGTTTTCCTCATTAGGATCGCAGGGTCCCCACAATGTCAGCTTTTCTGGTTGTATTATTTTGTGGGAATATCTGATGTCCATTAAGAAATCTCACACTCATCAGTGCCATTTTAATATTATTTATATGATATTTTATATTAGTTTTAATTAATATTTGGAATTGACTTGAATTTTTATATTTTCAGTTTTTAATTTAATTTAAATTTGTAATAATTCTGTTGTTCTTTTGTAGTTTTTATTAGTATTTTTAAAATCATTTAGGTTTAATTTAAGTTTAAGTTTTATTTTTAGTTCAGTTTTAGTTTTTATTTTTGTAGTACAAATTTTCGTATATTTTAAGCTAGTTTTCTAATTGTTCTATTTTATTTTTCAGCTTTATTGTAATGAATTAAAATGTTTTGAATAGTTTTTATTATAGTTTTAGTTAATGATAATAAGCCTGAGTCCCTGACACACATTTCCAGTGACAAAAGAAGATAAAGTTAGTGTTTTGAAAGTCTGTTTCAGCATCAGAGTAAGACATGTGGGCCTGGGTTTGTTTCCCATTGTTTTTCCTCCTGCAGTGTCTTCTCTGAAATTGTACTTATCAATAATAAAGGCCAAAAGGCAAAAATAATAGAGCTTTTTCAGCACTAGAGCATTTGTGTGTGGTAAAGACTCTGATATCTGGGTTTGGTCCATCTGTCTGTCTGTCAATCCTGACAGCTTCTCAGTTGTTTGATGTGTCACAATCCTCAATGCTGCCACATCTGAGCATGCACGTCATCTCTGACCAATCAGAATGAGCATCATACCTAAAGTAACTTCGCATAGACTGTATTTACATTGCTGACGTGTGTTTACAGATTCCATCTGTGAGGATCTTCTGGAGGAGCTGGTCTGTAATTTGGTGCATCTCATCGTCGAAGTGCCGCTTCTGTGAGTACCGGAGAAGAACTGTTTGTGTGTTTGTTTTGTTCTGGATTTCTCTGTCTTGCAAATACTAAGTGATAAAGTATGTCTCAGTGTGAGAGGGAGGTGCGCGTGTGTTATTGTTGTGATATGTGACAGGTCTCTCACGTACAGCCTGTGAAGGTCAGCTCTGACTCAAACAATGAGGTGTCACTGTCATTTACACACAAATATATTTTCAAACATTTGTCCATGAAGTTCCAAGAAGTTAAATGTAGGACTGTTAATAACTTTGAGAATAATTATAAACAAATTAGTATCATCCCCACATGATGTGAGCTACGGTTAATGGAACTCAGAAATGAAAAGGTCATCGAAGATGTGGATGAGTTTGTTTCTTCATCAGATTTGGAGAAATGTAGCATTCCATCACTTGCTCACCAGTGGATGCTCTGCAGTGAATGGGTGCCGTCAGAATGTATATTTGTAGGTGTTCCTTGACTGTAAAGCATATTTATTAGAGTGTCCTACTTTAAAAGTTACTAGGAAATCTTTTTACTCAAAGTAAAATAATAGACATTCAAAAAAGTTTCACCTGGGAAAATATTAGAATTTTTTATTAAATATCAATTTGACAAAAACAAATATTTATTTATTTAAATTTTTTTTCATTATTTTATACAATTCACTGAAGTATTGTTATTAAGACTATTTTAAATCTTATTATTTTAGAGGTTTTTGGAGCCATGAATATAGCTTTTGATCCTGATATGGCCTAAAATGATCAATAAATTCCTGGCTAGCCATTTTAACTGGAATAATGTAATTGTTTTCACAATTAACAGATTTATGCTTATTCTAAGCAATTTTAATGTAGTTTGGAAATATGATTATTTAAATAAAATCAAATAGATGCAAATAGATAATAAGAAACTATAATAAACCATGCAGTGATTTTTTTTTTGTGCATAAATCTTATCCGTTGCATTTATATATGACTGATAAATGAGCATTAAATTAAGTTTATAGTTTGTTAAAATGTCACCAAATTAGATGGACATTTTCAAATTTGAATACATAAACACTAAATTTCTAATTTTTGAGTGCTCATAGCTGTAGGTCCAGTTTATCAGATAACGTCTTGCGAAGCAAAAAGCTGCGTGTTCGTTAGAAACAAATCCATCAGTAAAGACGTTTTTAACTTACACTTTTTAACGTTTTCAACTTTTCATTTTTGGGTGAAATATTCCTTTAAAATAATGTTTTACTCGTGGCACAAAACATAAACATGCTTTTTTTCCACACTCCCTTTCCGTTTTTTGTAAGTTGCAGCTGTTTCTCCACTCTCCCCGAGCGCCCATGTGTCTTTGGTTCTCTGTGTGACCCGCTGTCATTTACACACCTGAGTGGAGGACACCTTCATGCATGAAGCCATGATTTATTGAGTGACGCCCCTTCACACACACTCCCTTTCCGTTTTTTGTAAGTTGCAGCTGTTTCTCCACTCTCCCCGAGCGCCCATGTGTCTCGTCAGACCTCTGTGTGACCCGCTGTCATTTACACACCTGAGTGGAGGACACCTTCATGCATGAAGCCATGATTTATTGAGTGACGCCCCTTCACACACACATAAACACAGCGGCACAGGAGTTCTGCATTATTCAGCTCTCCTTCTGCGTAGTTCTAGAGTTTTTATGTATTTAAAGGACAGATTGATTTATCTGCTCTCATGAATGTCGATCTGTTTGTCATGTTCTAGAGTGTCCTTGTGTTCCACCCAGTCTATAACGAAAACCGTATTACAGACAGAGGAGTTGCGCGATGCTGTGTGCGATGCAAATGTTGATGGGCGTGTGTGAATGTGTATCTCATCAATTAAATTGACCCGGTTTACCTTATTAATACACATTAGTGATCTCATTAAGTACGAGTGCACATTATTCCAACAATAAAAACTCAATACTTTTTTTTTAAATTGATAATTCAAGTCATCGATTCAAGCAGTTAGTGCACTCGTTCCAAGTTGGCAGGACATAAAGGTTCAAATCTGGCATGTCTTTACACTGCCTAGATCAATAAATATGCCAGATATAATTACCTTCAAAAATAACCAAATTAAGTGATAAAGTTTTGACAAATGAAGAGACAAAATTGAAAATGATATTGTGAATTTGAATTATGATTGGTAATGTGATCAGATTGTTTCGGTAATGTTTTGCAGTTTTTCATCTCTTATTTCATATTCATATTTTATTTTATTTTATATTAATTTATTTAAATATTTCATATTTACATTCACATTTATATTGAATTTAATTATTATAAAATGATGTTGTTTTCTACATCGTATAATGCGTCATTAATTAATTAATATTTATTTATTTATTAATATGTATAAACAATTTTCTGTACATTTTGTGGCGAAATATGACCTGGATATGTCTGAGATTTGTGTGAGATTCACACAAATATAATTAGTTTTTGAATATTTGTGTTACAGTATTGTTTCCAAAGTTTTCTAAAAGCAATGCCTTCAAAAACTATAGATTATATAAAAAAGAGATTATCATCAGTGTTAGTCAACATTTGCATACAGACGATCTTGACAAATGAAGAGACCTGAGTTTGCAAATCAGAAAGCCTTGAGAACTGACGGAGAAAGTGAGGAACGTCACGTAAACATGATTGCAAGTTTTAAGTGGGTTTGAAATAAAGCGTGTTCTTTTTGCTTTCTCACATGTGTAAGTGGATTGCGTCGCAGTTGTGTTGTAACAGAGTTCAGTCTGCTGTTGTTGTCCCGTGTCTGTTTTTGTTGCCGTTTGTCTCGTTTCCTTGCTACGTGCTGACTGAGAGAAGTCACATTCAGAGCGCCGGCTCGCTGGTTCCTACGTGGTTTTGAGTGATTCTGTAGCTGGAGACAGGATTCTTATCATGCTGTTGTGAAGGATATTGTGAAATGTAGCTCAAATTACCACACAGATCAAAACAAGAAATAAAATAGCTGCAGAGTTACAGTACAGTAGAGCGTTTATACTGTGCATGATGATGTTTCTGATCAACCAGAAACCATTTACGGGTCGTTCCAAGTACTGTTAAACACAGAAGATAATGTTTAGCTGCATACAATGACAGTATACATGCAATGAAAGGATGTAAATTAACCATAAAGGAAGTCGATGTGACCTTAACTGAAGGGACCGGCTGAAATTTAAGGCTCACAATTTTGTTTTTCATCACTTTCCAATGGAAAAAAACACATTCACTTTTGACAAAACACTTTTTTATCATCGATGGAACAGTTTTGTATTGATAAATTCTGTTATGGTGACATGTTATTTTAATCATGTTATTTTTAATCAATGTTGCTAAACATTGTTTATGAGATGTTTTTCTGTGCTCTTTTTTTGGAGATGCATGTCTGTCATTTGACAATATTCAAAACTTTACAAAATATGTGAGAGCCAAGGCTGTTATAATAATTTAGCAAATGTCATATGTAAAATTATGAATCTGCTAAGTTCTGTTGAAATAATTTTCATTTGTAGTTAAAAAAGGCCAACATGGAATCTGCGCATACAGATTTCTGTAGAACTGGAAGACCCATTATTCATGTCCTTTATACCTAGTGTGTTTATTACATTTTTTGTAGTAAAGTCATCTCAGTTTAGCACATTTGACCTTGTTTAAGTCTATTACTCAGAATTCTGCAGATTCTCTCTCGAAGAGTCCATATTTTCAACATGAAAACGCCCATCTGGGCCGAGTCAAGTCCAACTCAAAATCATCTGAAAGCTCTTTCTGTGTTGCATTTTTTTGTAGTGCACCTTTATTTTCAGTTGCATAGTTGCAACTTCTTTTGTAATAAGTTGAACTTAATAATCAAAACAATTCAAAGCATTACAATAAAATTGGAAAAAATAGTATTAGTTATGATTTAATGTGTTTTTAGGCCCAGTTTGTGGAGTTTGGTTGTTCTGTGTTGCAAAACAGAATCCAGCAATAAACACTGCATGTGTTTGTGTGAATGTGCAGTCGTGTGTGTGTGTGTGTGTGTGTGTGTGTGTGTGTCTGTCTAAAAAGTAAAAGGGAATCATGCCAAGTAACATCACAGAACTGGGAAGTGGGAGTGAAGTGAGAAATCTGAAGGAAGGAAATGAGGGGTAATAGAAAAAAGAGAGATTGTTCTATTGATGTGTGTGCGTGTGTGTGTGCGTGTGTGTGTGTGTGTGTGTGTGTGTGTGCGCGTGCGTGTGTGTGTGTGTGTGTGTGTGCGCGTGCGTGTATGATCTGTTAGTCTAGGTCATATTTCACTATTTTACATTTCACTAAGAAAATGATGCCACAATGTATAACATTTTAATGGTCATAAAATGTTTCATTTGAATGCTTATAAAATGCTTTTTTTAAAAACATTTTTTAGTTTTTTGTTTAGTTTTATTTTTTATTTAGTTTTTTTGCTTTGTTAAAAAAAAAGTTTTTTTTTTCTTTTGATTTGTCTTTTTTGGGGTTTTGTTTTATTAAATTTTTTTTGCTTTGTTTTTTATTTTTGTTTGTTTATATTTTTATCTTTTGTCTTGTTTTGTTTGTTTTGGTTTTTGTGTTGTTTTTTCCTTTATTTGATTTGGTTAATTTTTTGGGTTTGGTTTGGTTTTTGGTTTTGATTGAATTGTGAATTGTTTCACATGAATATATTATTTATTGTACATCTTTGTCTTTTACAGTCTTATAAAAGTCAAAACCCTCTTGACCATGGTAAAATCAGTGTATAGCACAGCAGCAATTGGCTCATTAACATAAATTTTTGTATTAATGTTGGTCATGTGTCCGTTTCCATAGTGACATCACCTACAACATCCTGTTTGAAGCTGTGACCACCCTTCTGGTGCTGCTGTCCTATCAGCTCTTCCATAAGGAGGTTCTGAAGGAGGGGCTTATTTACAACTACCTGACCAGAGGACGATGGTGAGGAAAAAAACATGTTGGATTTAAACATCCCTATAGCTTTAACCTCTACATGTACATGTAATGGACTGTATAGTCGATCATATAAAAGAGTAGTAATTAAACGAATGGTAAGGCACAGACACTCGACACACCTGAATAGATTAATCTAATTGTTTCAGAGTTCCAGCGATGCATCATAAACTTCCTAACTTGTGAACCAGAGCCAATACAAGTGAAAAGTTGTTGCCTACCGCAGTGTTTTATTCTTATGAAGTTTGTCCCAGTGTGATATTGTGGCCCCCTGACCGGCGTTAACAGAAGGACGACTGTCAAGCGCTGCCATTTCATATGCAAATGAGGGTGTTCATTAATTCACCAGATGCTCTCGTCTGGAGCTTTGCTTGAGTTCACCCGGAGGGCTCGTTTGCATCGCACCAGTGATACTGAGCTTTTAAAGTTCCCTCGTTAGCTCTTCGGCACTGCAGCTGAGCTTGCAATGTCTGAGGTCGTTAACGAACACTCGTCAAACCTCACCGGTGTCTTTAGGACTGAGACAGACTCTACGCAAGTACTTAAAAGCAAAGACGTCTAGCAGACATTGCCATGTTCCTAATTTTCATGTTTTGTCTTGACATTCTTTATTTTTGGGGTCCCAGAGATGCTAACGCTAAATGTGTATCAAATCTAATAATATAATAATAAAGTTGCCCTTGTTAGAGTGTGTTAATTTCAACATTTATTATTGATATTATTATTATTATTACTACTACTACTACTAGTACTGTTTTTTAATAAAGCACTATTTTAGTTTTTGTTCAGTATCAATTTTAAAAACTATCGATTAAATAATCGGTGTCTGCCAGTGTGGTCCATCCTAGCTATCGGTATCGGCAAATCTAATAAGTATACATATAGTAAACCAAACTTACATAGAAAAGAGGTGTGTTTGCACTAAAAAGAATGACAGCAACTTACTTGGCATTAACTTTATAGCATTATAGCATGCAAAAGTGGCTATCAGAAAGATATTTTAGTGTTATTTATATGCTATTATTGTAGAACTTATTAATATTTTGAACTTAAATTATATCTTCAGTTTTTATTATTACTTTAGTTTTATACATTTTATTACATACTTTTTAAAATTGTATTAGTCTTTATTTTCATTTATTTTAAGTAATTTTATTTAGCTTTCATTTTTTTTTCACTTGATATTTTCATTTTTTATTATTAAAATTATTAATTTTAGTACTTCAACTTTTTTCAGTTAAACTGCTAAGGCAACATTTCTAATGGTCTAAGGCCACGTTCACACAGCAGCAGAATATGGTTGTCAGTCCTGTATTTGAGTCCTTAATACGGTTACGTTCACACACAGTTTAGTTATTTACGGGTGTGACAACTGCATTCTGTAACCGAACTCACACCTGTAAATCTTCAGGACTCACAACCGCATTCTCGGAACACACGCGGCTTTTTTCAGTTAAACTGCTAAGGCAACATTTCTAATGGTCTAAGGCCACGTTCACACAGCAGCAGAATATGGTTGTTAGTCCTGTATTTGAGTCCTTAATACGGTTACGTTCACACACAGTTTAGTTATTTACGGGTGTGACAACTGCATTCTGTAACCGAACTCACACCTGTAAATCTTCAGGACTCACAACCGCATTCTCGGAACACACGCGCTGTGTGAACGGAACCGGACTGGACAACTAGTTGTCTGTCAAGTCATACAGTGCGAGACGAGAGAGCCGCTCTGCGCACAAACGCGCGTCTACCGTGTGTTACGTGTTTTCATGTGTGTTTTCGGTAACTTACAGTGATGGAGAAATGAGCTGCGTGCCATCTGAACGTTTTAGATCCCGTCAGTTTTCCACCGGAGCCGCTCCCGTCAGTTTTGTGTTCTGCACGCGATTCAAATGCTCCGCTCTCCACCAAAATTTTAAAGCTGCTGTTGGTTAATGAAGATTTGACAAAATAACTTGCGGCTCGATTGGACTCTTGTCGTGTCAGAAAGTGAAAAGTCTGTCAGTTTTATGGACGTCGCCATCTTTGATTTTACTTTGGTCACTGTCGCTATGGTTACTGGTAAGGAATACGGGTTTGACTCCCGTTGCACGTTCATACAGACAGTATTCTAAACACAACTGTAAGCTGCTGTGTGAACGGGACATTTCGAGACTCACACCTGTAAAGAAAATGCGGTTGTCAATCCCAAAAGTTGACAGTGTGAACGTAGCCTAAATCTATTTTTTATGTTAGTTTTAAGTTAATTTTTTAGGTAAGGGTTCATAAAAGCTTGAAATTGAAATGAATATTTATAATTTTATTTCAGCACTTGTTGTCAATCCCAAAAGTTGACAGTGTGAACGTAGCCTAAATCTATTTTTTATGTTAGTTTTAAGTAAATTTTTTAGGTAAGGGTTCATAAAAGCTTGAAATTGAAATGAATATTTATAATTTTATTTCAGCACTTTTTCAAATAATGAACATTAGTAATTATTTTTATTTTATTTCAGTTAACAGTTACAACAGCACAACAGTTGAATATAGTAGGTTTGCTCATTCGCTCTCTCTTTGTCTGTAGTCTGTCTCTGACGAGTCGTCTGGTGAAGACGCTGCTGTATAACTTCATCAGACAGGAGAAATGTCCTGCCGCCACACACGTGTTGCAGACGCAGTCAGACGGAGGAGGCCTGCTGTACGGACTCGCATCAGGAGTCGCCAGTGAGTTTAATGCACCACATCTGATACATCTTGAGCTTTTTACCAGATTTGAACAAATCATTCAGATCTAAATCAACTGATTCGCTGAAAAGATTCATTTTTGGGTAAACTATTCCTTCAGTGGGGTATATAAACATTGAACTTCACACACTGGCTCTGGATGATCTGGTGTTTGTTGGTTATGGCTCAGCAGCCTCATTTGCTTAAATGATGCCCGTGTTGTAAGATGAATGTCCGGGTCTGTAGGGGTTGAACGGGGTCTGATTACTCTTTCAGATAATAATATTTGTTTTGGTTGTAAATAAACCCTTCAGTCCAGTTTCTCCTGAATTTGCATGTGAAAAATCCCCACATGCACCTGATTCACATGCCCGTTTTGTTCAGCTTTAGCCTTTTAACACTCTGATCAAGTTTTTCTGTTTTTTAAACATGCTTTTGTTTGACCGGCCTGTCAGAAACAAAACCCAAGGCATATGAGTGTTTGCTTTGTGTGTTATTGACAGTTGTGTCTGTCTGGCGTCTGGCTCGCTCAGACGTGTCAGCAGAAGTACACACACATTTCATTGTATAAACTCAACTCTTGGCTTGATCATTTACTTAATATTGAGTTACACACTCTTCATTGTGTGGACCGAATTCAGACCAGTGTCCATCACACACACAGACTGTCCGTCACCAGACACACATTCACATCTGTCTCACTGTGACATACTAACCCATAAACACACACTCGATTGTGAACTAATTAATTTTGTTTTTTTTCTGGGGGGGGCTCATTCAAGAAACATGAATGGAACGCATTTCTGTTTTTCACGTAATTTGTCGAATTGTTTTACTAACAATTTGTTCTTGTGTTTCATGAATAAGCATAAACTAAACTACTGATGAACAAAAATATTTTTTAACATCATAAATGCAAAAACTGAAATGAAACCAATAGCAAAATTGTCTGTTTAATAATAAAAGTAAAAGTTGTTTATGAAGTGATTGAGCTATCCAGAGTAAATATAGTTTGAGTTTTGAATGTAGTTTTTGTTTCATTTTAAGTTAGTCATTCCAGTTTAGTTATGTTTTGTTTTCATGCTATGTTTTTCCTTTTTTCTAGTTTCACTTAGTTTTGAATTTAAGTTTATAAAAAAAAAAAAGTAATTTTAATTTAAAATGTTTGTGTAATATTTAATATTCTTTGATTTTCATTTTAAAGGGGTCATATGATGCTTTTTTAGAGATCATTATTTTGTGTATTTGGTGTAACAGAATATGTTGACATGCTTTAATGATCAAAAAACACATTATTTTTCAAATACGGTACATTATTGTAGGTCCTCTATGCCCCCTCTCTCTCAAACGCTTCGTTTTCTACAAAATCCCTCCTTCCGACAAGCGCAGTCTGCTCTGATTGGCCAGCTGACCCAGTGCATTGTGATTGGCCGAACACCGCAAGCACTTGTCGGAAATGTAACGCCCCTTACCATAATCGCGAGCTTCATCTTTCAAAATAAATGTAAAGACAGATCCCGAAAGGGGAACAGAGTCGCGTGACAGACACAGTGATGAAGCTGGTATGTGTTTGGGATGTGACCCCCCCCCTCTCTCTCTCTCTCTCTCTCTCTCTCTCGTGTGCGCTCGCACACACACACACACACGATGTGCAAAACTCCGCATTTGAACAGTCAATAGCAAATACTTAAACTAATAACCAAACAGTAGCTGATTCAGAAGCGCCAGATTGTCATAGCAAAGTCAGAATGACCTCCTCTCCTAGGTTCACGAAACGGTCGTCCATAAAATGCATTGCTGTTCTCTAGTAACTGCTGTTCTTAAGTAATCTTAATGCATCTACTTCCGGAAGGCCAAATAAAGTGCTTTTGCTTTCGCCTAGAAACACACAGCGTCTCCCTGACATGCTGCTTCAACACTACTGCTGTTGCTGAAACCACGCCTTCTTTCTTTGCGGGCACATTTGGACCGCATTATGCTAATATTTCCACATAGTGAGGTAGACATGTGGGGGCGTGTTAGAACGAGCCGTTTTAGGGGGGTGTGGCAGAGTCTTAACTTTGATAAAGAATATCTCTTTGGTTTTGAGACTTTAGTCTTTGCAACTGCAGGGATCTTATCTATGCACAATCAGCTTGTAACACTCCAAAGAGAAAGGAAAACTTGAAATCGCATCATATGACCCCTTTAAAGAGCGTTCACACTTTACTGTCTGAACTTCACGTTGGTAATCATCTCATCATGTCAAAGAATATTAAAAAATAAATATAAAATACAAAAATAAAATTAAAACCTATTTAAATATTTATTAAACTTGAATTGAATTTGAAATGAAACTTAAATTCATTTAAATTAAATTAAATGATTATTATTATTAATTATATATATATATATATATATATATATATATATATATATATATATATATATATATATATCTATAGATATATAGATATATATATATAGATATATGAGTATTGGATATTGTATTATTTTGAATTTTTGTTTCAGTGCTGCTTTTCAAATGTCTGAAATATTAAAATAGTAATATTTAACTATAAATTTAGCTATAAATTTAACTATAATAAGCTGAAACTAGAAAAACAAGAAAACCAGAGCATGAAATAAAAAGTAAACTGAAACTATTCCAACCACTGCTGAATTAAATGAAACTAACCTGAGGTCTAGTAAATTATTCAGATCTCATTTGAAGGTGCTCATACAGAGCTGTTTTTTTGTTGATTCTCTTTCACTGTGACAGACACAGTTAGTCAGAAGTGTGATTAGAGTCTAGAACTACATGTATCATCGACTGACACCCGACTGGCCAAAAGATACAAAATGAGCTTGTTAACAGCTGTGAGTCAGTGCCAAGATGAGTCCCAATGTGTGTGTGGAATCCAGACAGTGTGTCTTCATTGTCTGACGGGTAAATCAGGCCGGCTAAATGGAGACACAAGCCCTGTGTGTCAGTCCCGTCAGCCACAGTAAGAATTCTGGGCCTGATCCTGTTTCCGCTGCTGTGGGATGGAAAGATTCAGGCAGGATTAGACGGCCACAATCCGTCCCTCTGGAATTACACGTGCCGGAAAGCCTTCTGGATCACATTAATGTTAGCTCGACTTAACCGTTTACGATACTTTCAATGACGTTTCATTCGCTCGCGGTTATAAATGTACCGCTTTTGTCTGAGAAACAACTTATGGTCGTTTTGCTAAGTTTGAGTTGCTCTAGAAACAGGAATGTGATGGATAACCTTATTTTGTCTATATATTAAAAACAATAAATCTAAATTTATTATTGTGGGCAATGTTGAAGGTCAAGCAGTTATTTGGCTTTCAGTCCATGTCTATTTGCCCAAACTTCCTGTTTCAATAGGAAATCCGGCAACACAGGAAATAAAGTTGTGCTCGTCAGGTAATTTCATCAGTGCAAATGTGTTTTTAATGGATAAAACGACACATATTCATACATATTTGCTAGTTTGAGAGCTACGTCACACCAAACCACCCCAAAAAAGAGATAAATGATAGTATTTAGAGAGCAATGCTCTCTGGGAAACACTTGTGCTTGATAAAGACGGACCAAATATGGTGTGTATCTCACAAAAACATGTTCAGATCCCATTTCACACCAAAATCACATGAAAAATAGAGATGACTTTATAGTTTACATAAGAAAATAAAGCCTTTTAGGACCATAAGTTAGCATTATTTTCATGACAGTTCATCAGGAATTCTCATTACATACTGCGTCTGGTCATTTTTACAAGGCATTATAGTAATTTTGGGGAAAAAAATTCTGAATTCTCAAATTTTCTTATTATAATGAATTTTTTATTTATTTATTTTTTATTTAATATTTTTCATTTATAAAAGACAACAAATCCTACTGTGATGTATAATTTGTTTTTTATTTAAAAAAAATCTGTTTTATATTTTTATGACAGTTCACTACCGTTCTCATTACATATGGTCATTTTGGTAATTTTTAAATTTTTCTCAGATTCTCTTATTATAATACATTTTTATTTTATTAATTTTTTTATTAAATATTTTTCATTTTTAAAAGGCAGAAATCCTGCTATGATGTATAAATTGTTTTTTAATAATTTTTTAAATATTTGTTTAGTTAGATTTTGTTTCATTATTTAATTGTTTATTTTAATTTCATTAAACTAATGAGTATCAGTGGAGAAAATCACTTTATTAATATCACATTATTAAAAATGTCACAATGCAACACACCTTATGTCCTACAAAGGAGATTCACTTTCAAAATATAATTAATAATATTTAATATTTTTAATGTAAATTAAATATGAATAACATAATATACATAGTTTAAATAGATGAGATTCCTAATTCTAGATTTAAAACATTTACTGTACATTATGCTACAGTAGTGTGATACCATGGTATATCTGAAATATTCTGATGTTGTTTTGTGTGTTCAGTCTGTGTAAATAACAGCTCCTTTAACCATCCGTGTTTAACACTTCAGCATTACATTCCTTTAATAGTTATTGAACTTGCGTCTGGCATTAACAGAATCCTGCTATTGTGTGTTTGTGCTGTGTAAGTCTCTAGGCCGTCACTGTGTCTGTGTTCAGGATTAGTGTCGCCTCAGCTCAGACTACAGCAAAAGAGAGAGAGAAATGGTGAATGATAGAAGTAAAGAATGATAGAGAAAAATATTATTAAATAATTTTTGGCCTAATATTACTGATAACTCTTTTAATTACTGATAGCCACATAGCAGCTCCCTAGAAACCACTCGGAACACCTTAGCAACCCCCTAGAAACCACTCAGAACACCTTAGCAACCATCTAACATCTCCATAGAAACCACTCAAAACACCGTGGCAACCATATAGCAACTCTCTCAAAACAACTCCATAACACCTTAGCCACCCCGTACAAACTACACCCTAATAACTGCATCGCAACGCCCCCCAGAGACCCCTTAGCAACGCCCTAGTAACCACTCAGAATACCTTAGCAACCACTTATCAATCCCTATAAACTACTGATATTACCTTAGCAACCGCATAGCAACTCCCTTGAAACAACTCATAACACCTTTAGCAACCTCATAGCAACTCCCTAGAAACAACTCAGAACACCTTAGCAACTACAGATCAACTCCCTAGAAACACCTTAGTAACCCCCAGTAACTGCACCTTAGCAACCGCATCGCAACCCCTAGAAACAACTCAGAACAGCTTAGGAACCCCATAGTGATGCTGGCTTCATCTCAGCATGATGGTGGCAAGTTGTGCCCAATCAAACACCACACTGTCTGCTGCTGAAGTCACGGTGACAGGAAGTAGTGGTGGGCTTATAGCAGCAGACAGAAAGTGCTTTAGTAGTCCAGTCAGACATGACACACACACACACACACACACACACACACACACACAGAGGAGCCCAGTGTTAGGAAGTAAGACATTGCAGGAATCCTGACCATGTTGATGTATACATTGACTGCCACATATACTCTCTCTAAAGAGACTGTGACCGTATGAATGTGTTCATCTGACACACACACACACACACACTGACCTGTCCTGTGTTTAGTCTGACAGGTGGCTTTGCATGAATAAACTATTTTCCTCTTCACTCATCTAAAGACTGGCCTTCATGTCAACAACTGCTTTTTTAGGAAAATATCAATATTTAGTCAAATTTTTGAGATTATCAGATGCTCAATACAACATGGCAAGGAAGTTTTTCCCTGAGCCCAGTGAGTTGACAAAAAATTGGCAGAATATTGCTGCAGAAGTGTAAACCGTCACTCAGTAACCCCATATCTGTTGTTATTGCTAAATAATTTGATCTGTGGGAGTTTTTAATGGCATTTTTACTTCTGGAACGAGCACAAGATGTGAAATTACAGTAGCCTTTGTCTCTTTAAGACAAGACACTTCCATGATTTCTGCTGTCTGAATCAGACTCTCTTTCTGGATCTGATGTTTCCCTCAGACTTTATAATGAGTAATACATCAGACGCTCCTGAGTTTGAATGGACATGCTCCGAGAGAGATCCACAGGGACTTTTACTGGAGGACATAGACATGTGTGTGTGTGTGTGTGTGTGTGTGTGTGGGAGTTAGCAGCAGCATTTGTCACCCTCAGCCGCCTGTTTATGTACTGGCAGCGTTAGTGGCATGGAAAACCCCTCTCTCTCTCTGTGTGTGTGTGTGCGTGTGTGTGTGTGTTCTCAGCTCTGCTGGATGGCAGCCATGATGTCTTCATTTATCTGCAGCTCTGTTAACACAGCCCACAATAACAACCCCAGGATACACACACACATACACACTCTGAGACCCCTAGAGCATCTGCAGTGCAGAAACATAGGAGAGTTAAGACACATCACACACACTTGGTGCAGATTGTGTTTTTAGTAGACCTACTGTAGCATTAAAAAAAAATTCCAGGGCATTCAAACTGCTGTGTACATTTGATATTTTACATATAAATTATGTATGTAATTTACTGTACATAATTTATATTTTATTTTTATATTTGTTTTATTTATAGTTAATAAATAAATATTTATACTCAATATAAAATATATTAATATTTATTAACAATGTTTTTAAAATAATAATTAATTAATATTTATTATTTTTGTTTCTAAATCTTACAATGGATAATGCATCTGCTTTTCCCCCTTTCATTTAGTATTTTAAATTTTTAAGTATATATTATGCATTATGCATTGTAATGCTATTCTCAAATCTGTGAATATCATTAATTTTACCACATATATTGTGGAAGCCCAGCATAAGACAAAATGCTGAAAATCATAATAGACATAAAAAGTTGAAATTATGAGATAAAAAGTCATAATTTTTCTGTCATAATTAGCACTTACCAAAGTCATACATTTAATGTCACAATTATGATTGACCAAAACATGATTTCTTACAATATATATTAGTGGGCATGGGCACTAATTTATGTTTTTTTTCTTATATAAATAATCTGAAATAGGCACGGAAATGGTCATACAACTAAATCCTGATTGTTTTTTAAGCAAGAAACATAAATGGTAAATGCTATGAAAGGTATGAAATATGAGTGTATTTCTCACTCTTGTAATATTATATCTGTGCTGAGAGAAAAGGACCACACACAGGACTAACTGTGAACTAAGAGACTTATGAGAGAGATTGTGTGCTAATCAAAGGGATGTTTTCTTCATCCGTAATTTTTCCCGTCATAAAAGTGTGTCTGCTGGCGATAACAAGCTTCTGATTGGCTCTGATGAGTAGATTACAGTCTGCTCTGGCGACTGCGCTCGCTCTCATTGGTCGACTGAGGTCGCCGTGGCGTCTGTCGTGACCTCATCGCAGTTCCAATTCATTCGGAACACGATGATGTCATGAGGAACCTAACGGATAGATGCAGCCAATAATATCAGTCCAGTGACCTTTAATGTTATCAGTGTCTTAATGATATCAGTCTTCTCAGAGTCTGGGAGTTTTCCTTACTCTTTTTCTACTAGTGTTGTAGTTTTTAGTTGTGGTGGATGTTTGTTAGCATCCTGGCTCTGCTTCAGTCTGTTGGTGGGGCCGAGATGTCCAGCCACAAGTGATTAGACGTGGAGACAGGCATCTCATTTCCATCTCAACTCGCTCTTTCCGACCCGATGCGATGCCTGAATGATTAGTAACTTGAAATCTGTTTAAAATCAATTACTATTCATCAGCGACCTGCTGTTTGAACATTGTTAGACGGGAAAACTTTCAACCCATCTTGTTTTCGCAACGTTAAAGTCAACATGACGTCCAAATAATTTTCTATTGCATGATCCTGGTCTTATTGTGCATGATAAAATGTAATGACTTGCTCTGCTTGTGCAACAATTAACTTAACTGGTTGATATCATCAAGTCATTATTTTGACAAAATGCATTATTAAATCATCAACGTTAAAGTCAACATGACGTCCAAATAATTTTCTATTGCATGATCCTGGTCTTATTGTGCATGATAAAATGTAATGACTTGCTCTGCTTGTGCAACAATTAACTTAACTGGTTGATATCATCAAGTCATTATTTTGACAAAATGCATTATTAAATCATTGATATGACGTAAAAAGTTTAAATTATGAGTCATTTTTGTTGTATTTCTGAATTATGCATATTATGTATCTATATGTGTGTGTGTGTATATATATATCTCTTCAACCATCAAAAACGTGTGCTTTTAAATATTGCTGTAAGACATACTTATGTTCAAACAGTCATTTACATATTCAAACCGAACAAAAGGAGTGACTGTGATGTTGTAAAGAGCGCTAGACTCTCTAGATTAAATCTGGAGCTCTTGAGGCAGAAGAAACTGTCCTTTTTTGAGCCATTAACATGCCCAGTTGTCGACAACACTTTTCCTCTGCTTCTGGCCTGAAGCGACATCTTTTAAGTGCGTCACCATTGCAAAAGCCGTTTTAAAGGTGTCGAGTCCTGATATATATATCTGATATATATATAATATGAAGAGTTTGGTTCCAAAACGCTATAAATCCATTTTGATTAACTTGAGTAAAAATGTGTTTTCTTTACCAAGAAAGTGGCAAGATGAAAATCACAATTTTCCGTTTCAAACTTTCACATAGCATCTCTAGGTTATTATAACATTAAAAATTCTAATCCAGTTTAGATTTTCAAAGATTTATTATACAATTTTTATTATTTTTTTCCCTAAATGCAATAAATGCCTGTCATCCGTGATGACAATCACATGTGATTTCTCGTGCAGCCCTAAGTTTGTTTGTTGATCACAAAGTAGATGAGGAAAACTAGGATGCCGGGTGTATTCAAAGCGCCGCCATTACTGTCTAGAGTGCGTGGAGTGGTGCGCTGTGATTGGTTGTTACTGTTTACAGTGTGTGGAATGGTGCGCTGTGATTGGTTGAGCGGATATACCGCATTCTGCAGAGAAGAGAGACTGGCGTTTGTTGCGGTTTGGAAAAAAAGGGAGAAAACATGACAGAATAACTCGGCGGATATCGCATTTTGCGTAAAATAAAAAATGGACTTTTCAATACCGACCAGATTCAATACTGATTTTGGCGGAAACTCAATTTTTGTAAAAATGGCGTTCATCGCGTTTTGGAACCAAACTCTTCACATATATATTTAAAAATATCAATAAAAAAATGACAGAAGCGCATAACAAAATTACTAAAACAAAAATCAAAATGAAAACTGAAAATATTCCCATAGGAATATTCATGTTTGTATCTCAGATCTCAGTGCAGGAATTATTGTCAATGATAATGTGAGTCATAAATGTCATAAATGCTTGACGTGACCTTTTCCTTTATCACCATTAATTAAAGTCACTCCATGTTGATCATTTTCCAACAGATGTAATTAGTTTCTGTGTTATTCAGGTGGGTTGTGGAGCGTGTTCACATTAGGCGGAGTCGGCAGCAGGCCGGGGGCGGAGCAAGATCAGAACCCTCTCCCGCTGTCCAATCAGAGTCTACTATTACTGCTGGTTCTGGCCAATCTGACCGACGGCCTGGACTGTCCGAACCCCTACCGCCAGGCTGTTACCTGCTTCAAAAACACTCAAGGTGAACCAGAGCGGCCCCAGTTTGTTGGTGATTTTAGCTCAATTAATGGAATTAATTTAACTGAAAGTGCTACTGTGTGTGTTTCAGATTCCTCATCCATCCCGTCTCCTCAGCCTCACACGTTTCAGATCAACTTTAACAGTCTGTACACAGCGCTGTGCGAGCAGCAGAAATCAGACCAGGTGACGTTACTGCTCTACACGCTACTGCACCAGAACAGCAACATGAGGACGTACATACTGTCCCGCACGGACATGGAGAACCTGGTGAGATCACGCGCACATTCAGCACCTGTGCATATGCATTTCTTAGTGCTTGCAGAAACCTCCGTGAAGTTGGCCCCCCACCCAACGCAAAACGTCGGCAAAATAGTCTCAATCGTTTGTGCTCCGTTTGTGCTGGTTTGTGCTGTAAAAATTTTCATTTGTGCTGCTTCGGTTTTTTAGATATTAAAAGAATATTTATAGGTCATTCTGAGGTCACTCAGCCCCCCAACATACTCCAAATACACCCAAAATAGTCTCGTTCGTTTGTGCTCCGTTTGTGCTGGTTTGTGCAGGTAAAAGTTTTGTTTGTGCTGCTTCGGTTTTTAAAATATTAGACATTGAATTATATGCGATGACGTCACCAGCCCCCCCACATGCTCCAAATTCACCCAAAATAATTTACTGTACATAATTTATATTTTATTTTTATATTTGTTTTATTTATAGTTAATAAATAAATATTTATACTCAATATAAAATATATTAATATTTATTAACAATGTTTTTAAAATAATAATTAATTAATATTTATTATTTTTGTTTCTAAATCTTACAATGGATAATGCATCTGCTTTTCCCCCTTTCATTTAGTATTTTAAATTTTTAAGTATATATTATGCATTATGCATTGTAATGCTATTCTCAAATCTGTGAATATCATTAATTTTACCACATATATTGTGGAAGCCCAGCATAAGACAAAATGCTGAAAATCATAATAGACATAAAAAGTTGAAATTATGAGATAAAAAGTCATAATTTTTCTGTCATAATTAGCACTTACCAAAGTCATACATTTAATGTCACAATTATGATTGACCAAAACATGATTTCTTACAATATATATTAGTGGGCATGGGCACTAATTTATGTTTTTTTTCTTATATAAATAATCTGAAATAGGCACGGAAATGGTCATACAACTAAATCCTGATTGTTTTTTAAGCAAGAAACATAAATGGTAAATGCTATGAAAGGTATGAAATATGAGTGTATTTCTCACTCTTGTAATATTATATCTGTGCTGAGAGAAAAGGACCACACACAGGACTAACTGTGAACTAAGAGACTTATGAGAGAGATTGTGTGCTAATCAAAGGGATGTTTTCTTCATCCGTAATTTTTCCCGTCATAAAAGTGTGTCTGCTGGCGATAACAAGCTTCTGATTGGCTCTGATGAGTAGATTACAGTCTGCTCTGGCGACTGCGCTCGCTCTCATTGGTCGACTGAGGTCGCCGTGGCGTCTGTCGTGACCTCATCGCAGTTCCAATTCATTCGGAACACGATGATGTCATGAGGAACCTAACGGATAGATGCAGCCAATAATATCAGTCCAGTGACCTTTAATGTTATCAGTGTCTTAATGATATCAGTCTTCTCAGAGTCTGGGAGTTTTCCTTACTCTTTTTCTGCCAGTGTTGTAGTTTTTAGTTGTGGTGGATGTTTGTTAGCATCCTGGCTCTGCTTCAGTCTGTTGGTGGGGCCGAGATGTCCAGCCACAAGTGATTAGACGTGGAGACAGGCATCTCATTTCCATCTCAACTCGCTCTTTCCGACCCGATGCGATGCCTGAATGATTAGTAACTTGAAATCTGTTTAAAATCAATTACTATTCATCAGCGACCTGCTGTTTGAACATTGTTAGACGGGAAAACTTTCAACCCATCTTGTTTTCGCAACGTTAAAGTCAACATGACGTCCAAATAATTTTCTATTGCATGATCCTGGTCTTATTGTGCATGATAAAATGTAATGACTTGCTCTGCTTGTGCAACAATTAACTTAACTGGTTGATATCATCAAGTCATTATTTTGACAAAATGCATTATTAAATCATTGATATGACGTAAAAAGTTTAAATTATGAGTCATTTTTGTTGTATTTCTGAATTATGCATATTATGTATCTATATGTGTGTGTGTGTATATATATATCTCTTCAACCATCAAAAACGTGTGCTTTTAAATATTGCTGTAAGACATACTTATGTTCAAACAGTCATTTACATATTCAAACCGAACAAAAGGAGTGACTGTGATGTTGTAAAGAGCGCTAGACTCTCTAGATTAAATCTGGAGCTCTTGAGGCAGAAGAAACTGTCCTTTTTTGAGCCATTAACATGCCCAGTTGTCGACAACACTTTTCCTCTGCTTCTGGCCTGAAGCGACATCTTTTAAGTGCGTCACCATTGCAAAAGCCGTTTTAAAGGTGTCGAGTCCTGATATATATATCTGATATATATATAATATGAAGAGTTTGGTTCCAAAACGCTATAAATCCATTTTGATTAACTTGAGTAAAAATGTGTTTTCTTTACCAAGAAAGTGGCAAGATGAAAATCACAATTTTCCGTTTCAAACTTTCACATAGCATCTCTAGGTTATTATAACATTAAAAATTCTAATCCAGTTTAGATTTTCAAAGATTTATTATACAATTTTTATTATTTTTTTCCCTAAATGCAATAAATGCCTGTCATCCGTGATGACAATCACATGTGATTTCTCGTGCAGCCCTAAGTTTGTTTGTTGATCACAAAGTAGATGAGGAAAACTAGGATGCCGGGTGTATTCAAAGCGCCGCCATTACTGTCTAGAGTGCGTGGAGTGGTGCGCTGTGATTGGTTGTTACTGTTTACAGTGTGTGGAATGGTGCGCTGTGATTGGTTGAGCGGATATACCGCATTCTGCAGAGAAGAGAGACTGGCGTTTGTTGCGGTTTGGAAAAAAAGGGAGAAAACATGACAGAATAACTCGGCGGATATCGCATTTTGCGTAAAATAAAAAATGGACTTTTCAATACCGACCAGATTCAATACTGATTTTGGCGGAAACTCAATTTTTGTAAAAATGGCGTTCATCGCGTTTTGGAACCAAACTCTTCACATATATATTTAAAAATATCAATAAAAAAATGACAGAAGCGCATAACAAAATTACTAAAACAAAAATCAAAATGAAAACTGAAAATATTCCCATAGGAATATTCATGTTTGTATCTCAGATCTCAGTGCAGGAATTATTGTCAATGATAATGTGAGTCATAAATGTCATAAATGCTTGACGTGACCTTTTCCTTTATCACCATTAATTAAAGTCACTCCATGTTGATCATTTTCCAACAGATGTAATTAGTTTCTGTGTTATTCAGGTGGGTTGTGGAGCGTGTTCACATTAGGCGGAGTCGGCAGCAGGCCGGGGGCGGAGCAAGATCAGAACCCTCTCCCGCTGTCCAATCAGAGTCTACTATTACTGCTGGTTCTGGCCAATCTGACCGACGGCCTGGACTGTCCGAACCCCTACCGCCAGGCTGTTACCTGCTTCAAAAACACTCAAGGTGAACCAGAGCGGCCCCAGTTTGTTGGTGATTTTAGCTCAATTAATGGAATTAATTTAACTGAAAGTGCTACTGTGTGTGTTTCAGATTCCTCATCCATCCCGTCTCCTCAGCCTCACACGTTTCAGATCAACTTTAACAGTCTGTACACAGCGCTGTGCGAGCAGCAGAAATCAGACCAGGTGACGTTACTGCTCTACACGCTACTGCACCAGAACAGCAACATGAGGACGTACATACTGTCCCGCACGGACATGGAGAACCTGGTGAGATCACGCGCACATTCAGCACCTGTGCATATGCATTTCTTAGTGCTTGCAGAAACCTCCGTGAAGTTGGCCCCCCACCCAACGCAAAACGTCGGCAAAATAGTCTCAATCGTTTGTGCTCCGTTTGTGCTGGTTTGTGCTGTAAAAATTTTCATTTGTGCTGCTTCGGTTTTTTAGATATTAAAAGAATATTTATAGGTCATTCTGAGGTCACTCAGCCCCCCAACATACTCCAAATACACCCAAAATAGTCTCGTTCGTTTGTGCTGCAGAACGCATGCATTTATTCAAATACAGCAGCTTCTGTCAATCATTCATTGTGGGCAGGACTACATTTACATCTGTTGGATGTGGTTTTTTAGTGGGTTGATATTTGGCGTTTTTAATCATTGGCCATTACATTTTTCTGTTTGGCCCATGTGTCAGAAGATCATACATTATTAGAACTATTAAACAAAAAAGGAAACAAATAAGTATTATAACATTTGCTTTTCTGTTGTTAGTAATATTAAGGCAAACGCTATAATATTTTCTCATATACTTTCTCGCTGATTGAAATTTTAAAACCTTGATTTCAAACTACACTGCACAGTTTGCCACTGTCATATTCATGTCATATTCACTGTGTACTGTATGTAAAATTAGCGCAAACTTTATTTGAAAAAAAAAAAAATTACTGCAATGTTGGGTACAGTGTTTATTTCCTTTTTATTCATTTTTTAACAGTTTCTTATACAGAATAAAAAAGTTGCCATCTAAACTATAAATCTGTTTATTTTACAGAAAAATTAAAATGTATTTTTTTTATTTTAATTATCTTTATTTTCTAATTAGTTTTTTAATTGAAAGATGTTTATTTTACAGATTTTTAAACGATTTAAATAATTTATTTTCATTTTTATTTTACCGATTTTATTTCAATGTTATTTATTTGTATTTTTTATTTTACAGTTGTTTCAAATGTTTTTTTATATTAATTTTCAAATTATATATAATTTAGTAAATATGTCAAATGTAAATTTAAATTCAGCAATTGTTATGCTTGTAGTTTTAAATGTCTTTTAATGAAATAGTGTGATTTCATATCTATAAATAAACAAATAAATCAAATATCAACATCAGTTGACCACTAGTTTTTTTTGTTTTTTGCACAATAGTAAAGTATTTTGTCTTTCTGTCTCTGTAGGTTTTGCCGATTCTTGAGATCTTGTATCATGTCGAGGAGAGAAACTCTCATCATGTGTACATGGCCCTCATCATCCTCCTCATTCTCACGGAGGACGACACCTTCAACCGCTCCATTCATGAAGTGGTGAGGTCACACACATAATCCAGATCAGAAATCAGATTAAAACATAAAGAATCTGCCTTGAAAACTTCATCTAAGAGCCTGTAGTCGTTTCAGTGTGTGTGAATATGTGCTTAGATAGAGGTTTGAGTCTGGAACTGTCATTCCAGGCTGGGAATAAGACCGACATGACACGAGTCTGTGTGTGTGTTCTCTCAGTATATTTGTGTAACTGATGCAGGTCAAATTGTATTTGCTGTTGGTTTTCCATTGAGGGTATGTTTATAGATCTGTATGAAAATAACAGTGATATGCAAGCACACGTGTTTGCACATTTATTTGTCGATTTTTGTTTCAATGCATCAGATGTTCTAATGTTTTTCATCAAAACTCACACACAGACACTGTTAGTTCAGAATATACATCATCAACTGTTTAAAGGTTGTGGTTTGCAGAAAATTACAGCGGTGCACATTGTGCTCCAACAACTCAATAACAAAGACCAAATTTGACCAAGAGTGTTTTCAAACTGGCTTTTGTTTTAATACTATTTACATTGTTTTTAATATTAGCTTAATCTGTGGTTTTTGTTAGTTACATGAGTTATTTGCATCTAAAATAAGTGCAAGATATTTGAAATTCAGATTGACCTGGTAGATGAACATTAATGTTAAATAGCTTTTAAACAATTTACTCTTCAGACCCTGATAAAGTCAGACCTTTTGCACTCCATCCATCTCTTTATGTACATCTCTCACAGTTTTATTCAAACTCTGTTGGTGTTCTTAAAGTGCGACACAAATGAATTAAATGACTGTGTTAAAAATGTCATCTGCTGATGTGATGTCTTCTCCCACACAGATGGCGCTATCAAATCGAATATTTAAAGGAATAATTCATCCAAAAATGAAAATTTGCTGAAAATTCTCACCATCAGGTCATCCAAGATGTGGATGAGTTTGTTTCTTCATCAGATTTGGAGAAATGTAGCATTCCATCACTGTCTCAGTAATTGATCCTCTGCAGTGAATGGGTGCCGTCAGAATGAGAGTCCAAACAGCTGATAAAAACATCACAATAATCCACTAGTAATCCACAACACCTCCAGTCCATCAGTTAACATCTTGAGAAGCCAAAAACTGCTTGTTTGTGTGGTTTCTCAAGACATTAACTGGTGGACTGGAGTGGTGTGGATTACTTGTGGATTATAGTGATGTTTTTATCGCACCGGCGGTGTTAGCGGTTAGCTCATAAGTTAGCATGGCTGTGCGTGCCAAGCGACAGTTTTGCGAGTAGGCAAAGGTCAGTGTTTATGGTGGCTAAATTTAATAATTATGCTATTTTCTCCGATTTTGTTTACGGGTGGAGCTGCAGTACTGCCGCATGGGCTAATGTCAATCATCAGGTATTATTTCCTATGACCTTACACACTTTTAAAGCAAACCAGACGCTCATGATGGTGTAAATACTGTGTTCTGTGGTCGGGTTTGTTGTTAAAACTGCCTTTAGGCAATTTATTGATAATGAAGAAAGCTTATGTTGTTTTATTAGTGATATGGTAACACATTCTGTTATGTACTGTATATAAAATTCATTATAAAGGAGTCCTTCATGCACTATAATTGATTAATAGTATTATTTTTGTACTGTTGTGGTTTTTATTGATATTTTGAAAAAAATATATATTTTTATATAATATTTTTATAATTTTAAATAATAATTTTTTTTAAATTATATCTTTTTTCATTTTCATAATTTTTTTTATATTACTATTTAGGTAGAATTTATTTTTGTTTCAGTTGTTGTGTGTATATATATATATATATATATGCACACACACACACACACATATACATGTATACATACATATATATTAGGGCTGTCAACTTTAACGCATGTGATTAATTTTACAATCCTTAACGAGTTAAAATAATTTAACGCAGTTAATGCACAATTTCTATTTTAACCCTTTAACTCAATTTTGCTTCTCTGCTTGCGCTCGGATCATTTTAAGCCGCTAAATTCCGGGAAAGTTTTCAGTCAAATGATCCAGTGAGCGAATGCATTCTAACAATCCGTCCAAACAGCGCTAATATAAAGGAAATCAGGCTTTATTTGTTCCAGTGCGTTTCGTTTTAAAACACGAGTTCTGTCATATTCCGTGATTGTCTCTGAAGAGCGCAAGCTCTCACACGTCACACACGCTGTGTGAAGTACAGACCGAACGGATTGTCAACACATCCCACCGCTGTATGGCCAGATGAGACGCGAACTACGTTTTCTCGACTTGATAACCAGTCTCGCTAATAAAGTTTTAATGGATAAAGACTGCAATCAAGGTAAAGACGATTCCGGTAGCGTACAGGAGTCGTACAGTACAGTACTGTCTAGAGTGCGTGGAGTGGTGCGCTGTGATTGGTTGTTACTGTTTACAGTGCGTGGAATGGTGCGTTGCGATTGGTTGAGCGGATATATCATATTCTGCAGAGAAGAGAGACTGGCGTTTGTCACGGTTTGGAAAGAAAGGGAAAAAACATGACAGAATAACTCGGCGGATATAGCATTTTGCGTAAAATTAAAAATGGACTTTTCAATACCAACCAGATTCAATACTGATTTTGGCAGAAGCTCAATAAAATAAAATAAAAAGGCGTTTATCGTGTTTTGGAACCAAACTCTTCACATATATATATTATATTATTATATAATTATAATTAATTATATAAATGAAATAATAATTGTTTAATAATATTGTTTAATTAGTGTTATTTTAGTTTCACCGAGATTCTATTATAGTTTTGAATCAATATTTTGAATGTTTTCATTTTTATATTTTTTCTTTTCATGTTAATTTTAATCAAAATTAGTCAGTATTTTTATTGTGTTTTTGACATTTTTAATTAGTTTTTTTTATGCCTGTAGTTTTTATTAATTCATTTTTATTATAAATTTTTTTTTATTTCTGGTAATATTTGTTTTCAAGTAACAAAAATGTTTTTATGGTTTTAGTTTTAATTAGCCCTGTTAATTACAATTTAATTATATTTTAAATACACAATATTTTCAAGCTCTATTGATACTTTCCATTTTATCCAATCCATTTTATTTGAATATTATTTTGGAGTTTTTTTCTGTGTAGAAATGTAATATGGACTTTGTGAGAAGAGTTAGAAAGTAGAATATAATTACATTATTTAGTTAGCACCATTTGTTCTAACTGGGACACAGATGTTAGTAGTTGTAATCTCTGTGTAAAGTAATGAGTGTGATGTCTCGCTTAATTGTTTCAGTAAGCTTTTACATTTGTAAACAAGTAGTGCTGAAAAGCCTTTTTTTTGCCTTGCACTAATAAAATATTAAGTGTATATACAAGAGTAGAAAATGTATTGCATAAACATTAAATACATGCTGCATAGACTATTTAAATATGCACATAATAAGTATTCAGGAAGAGTATGTAAATTGTATGTAGCTGGTATTTTAGGTCCAGAGGTTCACTGTGATCTGGTCCTTCAGTCTCAACAGTCAGTAACCTCAGGTTTGAAGAAGTGTTATCTGAAAAAGAGCTGTTATCGACTGAAGCAGAAACTCACGCTAACCTCATGAGTCCTGTTAGCATGTTCAGGAAAGCTGTGCATTTATGACGTGACGTTTGAGTGGATCTCAGTGGAGCGGTTGAGATCAGTGGCGTTAATTGGGATGAAGATGGATTCTGATTGTTATTTTGAAGACGGCATTGATTGTTTTGATCTTAAACCTGTCAGATGAAGCACTTTTAACGTGTTTGATGGGTCTGCTACTTTAACGAGAACCTTCAGGCTAGTGTTTTCCCTGTTTTCTTTCTTCTCTTTCAAATTCTCACTTTGTTGAGAAAACATGTCAAGGTCATATTTCACCATAAAATCAAAATATTAAGTTTAGTAGCATTAAGAATTTTTGTCTTTATTTATTACAATTAAACACATTTTCCCTCAGATTCCCGTTACTGTAGTTGTCCAGACATTGTACTTCTGAATTTTCTCTTATTTTTAGACTGGCATTAATGCAGTGTTTTTAATATATTATAGTATTATTTAAAAATACTTTGAATATAAAATTATTATTTTACAGTAGCATAATTTAATATAAATTTAAAGCAGCATTAATTCATATATATTTTATAATTTCGTTACAATTAAACATTTTTCCACAAAAGTTTGTCCAGATGTTCTGCATATATTTTATAAAGTTTTATATATATACATATATATATATGTATATGTGAACATTTTTGGACTATATTCTTATAATTATTGATAATATAAATTATTATTGAATTATTATTATTATTAATGTAATATTTAAATAATTATTATAAAATAATATTTTCTTTTATTATTTTCTTTTATATTATTATTATTATTTTTGAATTAAGATGTTTTGGGGGGGGATTTTTTTTTTTTTTGGCATTACAGTAATGAGAATTAAGTGGGCTGAATTTGCTTAATTGTCACATCTAAAATACTTAATACTTAAAAGACTTAATAAGCAGCATATAAGTAATACAATATATATATATATATATTTTCCCCTTTGATTTTGCGGTATGATATGTCCTTGACATGTTCGATCATGAGATTGGGTCATGTTGAGGAATAAATCTGAAATCTGTTCGGTCTGTGTGTGTCTTTGGCTTTTTCCACAGGTGTTCTGTGTGCAAAACAACAGAACTACAAAAATTCTGTCCAAAACACCGTCAGTCACACACACAGCTGATCTGATAGACTTGCTAATCTGTCAACAGCATGATGATCTCAAACCACACTCACTTGCATATATTAGCAGCAGCATTGTGTGTGTGTGTGTGTGTGTGTGTTAAAAGCCCAGGTGCACTGAAGGACCCCGTTCGAAGAGACAGACAGGGTATTTTTAGCTCCGAGTGGCTTTAAGAGTCGACAAAGTGCAGCCACGTCCCATTAGCACAGCGAGAACGCCACCTGCTCCAGATAGACAGACAGAAAAGAGACGGGAAAATCGACAGACACTTCAACTGGCCGTGAACAGACAGAGCGTAACTGACACACAGATTAAGCTAGACAGAACGTACCAGACAGTGTGTGTGTATCAGACAGATCAAAACCCAGACCAGACGGACAGATAGTTCTGTATGTGTGCCAGCGGGCATTTAATGTGCTCTGACTCTCTCAGTAGGTCACAGTGACATGGCATTTCGTACAAACACACTCTGAGCGCTGCTGTCTGCCCTTCCTGCTGCCGCCACACGGATCTCAGCCCCAAAATAAATACAGATCAATCTAGAATCTCAGACCCAACGAGTCCTCAGCAGCTTTACAAAATAATCGCCGCGGGACGTTTGACGTGGACTCTCTGGTTTGTGCTTGTGGGCTGCTTGTTTGCTTCAGAGGAAACGGTTGATAATAAGAGCAGAGCGGGATGAAAATATTTATGTTCTGATTTGTTTTCCTGTTTGCGTGGTGTTTGCTAAGTCAAGCAGCGCTGTTACTGTTGAGTATAAACTTTAAACTTTAGTGTTTGCGCAGGAATGATTCCTCAAATCCTGTGTGTTTTTGAGGATGTGTTGTGCTTTACTAAGTGATCAGATGCAATTTTCAGCATAAAAAGGGTGAAAAAAAACTCAGAGAAAAAGCCCAGAATGCACTGTCATGACTTGGCAACAACCTAGCAATATATGTGTGTGTGTGTGTGTGTGTATATATAGAGAAATAAAGTAAAATACAAAAAACTTAAACTTTATTTTAAATTAAATTCAGAATTTTCGATTTTTCTTTAGTTTTAGTTGAATAAATAAACTCAAAAACGTTATACTTATTATAAGTATAAATTATACTTATTATTATACTAATATAAATATATATTGACGTTTAAAAAAACACAATTATTAAAATGACAAACTTTACTAAACTTTCCTAAATTACAGTTTATAAAATCCAATTTTTTATATACTATTGTGGCATTTATTCATATTTTTTAATTAACTTTAATTTGTATATTTTCAGTTTTCATTTATTTTCACTTTTGGTCATTTTGATTTTTGTAATATTTTTATTTAGCTTTAGTTTTTTATTGCAGTTTTTTTTGTTGTTGTAATTTTAGTGCCTTAACCTAATGTTGCCAAGCCAACATTTCTCAAGTTATTTAAGTTTAAAATTTGTATCTAATATTTAGATTTTATTTAATTTAAGCTTTATTTCAGTGAAAGAAACCATTTTTAATAGTTTTAGTTTTAATTAACAGTAACAAAACTAGCTAACATCAGGCTAACAGACTAAAACTTTGACTAAATTTAAAATGAAAATAAAATCTAATGTAAAAGATTAACAAAAACTATAATCTTATATCAATGATGCTGCAGTAAGCACTCTTGTGGAAATGTGAGGGTGTATTTAGGAGGATAGGGTTGATCCCACTCTAATTTGACACAAACTATAATGGCATGTTTTTTCCCCTCCATGACGCAAAATGTTTTAGCTGTCAGAATGATAATCCATGACTGAAATTATTGCCACAGCAGCATTTGTGTTGTATAGACTGTTGTATTAGCCATCAAAGTAAGATTGTTGATGTTAAATATGCTGCACATGCACAGGTAATAAAACACAAAATCCTTATTCATTTTTGGAAAAAAAAAAGAAAAGAAAAACTATATATTTTTTATTTTTATTTATGCATGTATTTATTTATTTATTTACATCAAATATATATATATATAGGTAAAGAAGAACCCAAAGATCAGTGTGGCTGAGCTCCAGAGATGCAGTCGGGAGATGGGAGAAAGTTGTAGAAAGTCAACCATCACTGCAGCCCTCCACCAGTCGGGGCTTTATGGCAGAGTGGCCCGACGGAAGACTCTCCGTGCAAGACACATGAAAGCCCGCATGGAGTTGTGAGATGGTGAGAAATAAGATTCTCTGGTATGATGAGATCCAGATAGAACTTTTTGGCCTTAATTCTAAGTGGTATGTGTGGAGAAAACCAGGCACTGCTCATCACCTGTCCAATACAGTCCCAGCAGTGAAGCATGGTGGTGGCAGCATCATGCTGTGGGGGTGTTTTTCAGCTGCAGGGACAGGACGACTGGTTGCAATCGAGGGAAAGATGAATGTGGCCAAGTACAGGGATATCCTGGACGAAAACTTTCTCCAGAGTGCTCAGGACCTCAGACTGGGCCGAAGGTTTATCTTCCAACAAGACAATGACCCTAAGCACACAGCTAAAATAATGAAGGAGTGGCTTCACAACAACTCTGTGACTGTTCTTGAATGGCCCAGCCAGAGCCCTGACTTAAACCCAATTGAGCATCTCTGGAGAGACCTAAACATGGCTGTCCACCAACGTTTACCATCCAACCTGACAACAGAACTGGAGAGGATCTGCAAGGAGGAATGGCAGAGGATCCCCAAATCCAGGTGTGAAAAACTTGTTGCATCTTTCCCAAAAAGACTCATGGCTGTATTAGATCAAAAGGGTGCTTCTACTAAATACTGAGCAAAGGGTCTGAATACTTAGGACCATGTGATATTTCAGTTTTTCTTTTTTAATAAATCTGCAAAAATGTCAACAATTCTGTGTTTTTCTGTCAATATGGGGTGCTGTGTGTACATTAATGAGGAAAAAACAATTAACTTAAATGATTTTAGCAAATGGCTGCAATATAACAAAGAGTGAAAAATTTAAGGGGGTCTGAATACTTTCCGTACCCACTGTATGTGTGTGTACATACACACACACACACACACCTTACTGTAAGTGTGTGTTTTTTACTTTTAGCGTTTATAATTGATATTTAATGTTTCGCATACTATTTTATATATATATAATGAAATGTTATTTTGTATTTTTACTTGTATTTGATTTATATTTATGTATTTTATATATATTTATATTAGTATACATTCTTCACAACATCTAAAAATGCTATTTTTTAACTGTATACGCGCTACATTGAACATCTACTATTTGAAGTGTTTATTGTTGCATGCTATTTTACATACTGTTTTTTGTGCTACTTTTAAGTACACAGTATGCAGTAGGCAGTATCCTTACAATATACCTTAATGTATTTAACAGTCCAGTAATATAATGGGTTTGGAATTACTTTACCATTTATACATTTTGAACATTTCCATAGTTTTAATACTGCGTTTCTAGTAAAAGTAGTATGGTAGTATGCGATTCCAAATATACTCAAGGATAATGAGAGTGGATGGTAGAGAAAAAGGTGTGTGTGTGTGTTATATGACAGCTTCATACGGTTAGAGCTCAAAGCATGTGCCGTCCCTTAGTGATTGATGAGTTCATCAGTATGAGACACATTAATCCTTCCCATCATGCCTGCTGCTCTCCATCACCCCACATGTGCAGCACTTCCATTGTTTTTTACTCTCTCTCATACATACATACATACACACACACACGTGCGCTCAGTCAGACGAGAAGGATTTGAAGGTCACCATAGTGAGGGAACTCATTATCCATGATTCATGTTCAACTCTGCCTTTAACATACAAGGCCTCTGATTGGCTCATCTCAGCCTGGCTATTATCACACACACTTACTAGCTGGAATCCAGGTCAGAAAGGTGTTAATGTGGGTATATGTATGCATGTGAGTATGATTTGTGACTTTTAATATGACGACCTAGTAAGCTGCCTACCTAGACACCATCTGACAATCCCAGAATGCGCTGCAACACACTCAGTGGGAAGGTGGTGCTTGTATTTCTTTAAATATTGGAAAATACAGGAACTGTCCTGGTTTTAATGCAAGTAGAAAACTTTTTTTTAATCAAGTACGCTCACTCAGGGGCTTGTTTAGCAGGATTTTACCAGAAACAATTTTAGAATTTTTATCGTGTTAATAAAAAATAAAATCTTGTATTATTTTAACTGCTGTATTTTTGTTTGCTTGGTTTTTATTTTGTGTTTATGTAACTCTTGTATTATTTTAACTCAGTTTTTCCCATGAAGATAGCCTTACATGCTGACATGGCAATAAAAATTAATTACTACTACTACTATAGTATTTATTTACAATTTATTGTAGTATATATTATTATTTTAAATTAGCTTTTGTTTTTAAATGTTCAGTTTTTCATTTCATTTTAATTTTTAGTCATTTTATTGTGCTTTTATTTGCAGAAATGCTTCTGTAATTCATGCTGTCCTAGTCTTTGGTCTAAAATGTGACCCATTTTTCTGTCAAGTTGAATTTGAAAAACTTCCTAGAGAAACTCAAGTCTGGAGGTTTTTCTGATCCAGCCCTCATGCCCAGACCTGAGAGAAAACTCTGACCCAAATTACATACTGTACAGACCTAAGCTTTATTAAAAGAGCTCTGAAACCAGATCACACTTACAAAAGCTTGTGAACAGCCTGTGTGACTCTTATAGCCGTCATGGATCCTAATCAGTGACAAGCAGCGACTCGACTCCAATATTGGTTTCAGTCAGGGTTATTATCATTAACTAAAACTATTCAAAAGCTGAAATAAAATATTAGATGAAAAATGTAACTAAACTTTAAAAACTTAAATGAAAAAAAAAAGTTTGAAGTAGTACAAAAATTGCTGAAAGTAAAACTATTAAAAAACAAATAAAAAAATTAAAGTTCTATGTGTGTATATATATATATATATATATATATATATATATATAAACAAAAGCCTTGGCAACTGGCTGTAATAAGTTTGTTGAAGCACTAAAATTACTAACTGGAAATATATAAAAACTAAAACTGAAGATAAACTACAAGTTAAACCTAAATAGGAAGATTTATTTAAAAAATAGTAAAAAAAATTCTAAAATGAAAATAAATTGTGTGTATGTATATATATATATATATATATATATACACACACACAGTGGTGTGAAAAAGCGTTGGCCC